TCTAAGTCCATAACTATATTTGGTATGTACTTGACCCGACCCGGCATGGTCCATTTGGGTTGCACTTCATCGGCACAATTTATATGGATAGTCTTTTGAGAATAGTATATTTATGATTTATATTAATATATTATAAGTTCTAATATATTAATATGGAATCATATTATTTAATTAGTATTGATCAAGAATTAATTTAGAATTAGTTAAGTGATCAAAAAGAAGTAATTAAATATGGACTCTTATATATATGGAATGGGCCAAGTTCATTTAGGTTGGGCTAAGCTTTCATGGATGGTCCATGGAGCTTTTAACCCATGGATCCTATGTAAATGAAAGGTCATGGGTATTAGGGTTTACATGGATGTAACCCTAATCCTCCATAATATATAAAGGGGTCCTTGGCTCACAAAATTGGCACAAGTGTGTGAAAATAAGAGTGGGCCGATTTTAGTGTGCATACATATTCTCTCAAGTTCTTCCAAGGTGTTTTGGTGATTTGTGATTCCATTTAAGGCTTCCACACTATTGGGGCTAAGCTCTTAAAGCTTGAAGACATCAAGCTACATCAAAAGGCATGTCATCTAACTAGAACTTTGTAGTATAGGTGCTTCATAATATGCTAGTTAGGATGAAACCTTGGAATAGTTAATATTTGCATGTATAATAGAGAAAACAGAGATCCAAGGTTTATAGGGTTGCATGTACACCATAAGAGTGTTAGAATGCTCAAAACCCAACGCATGCATCCAGGGATGGTTAGCTGTATGTGGAGATAGATACGTGGGGCAGGGAACAGACCATGGTTTTCAGAGAAAGTGATTGTTGAGAGGCCTGGGATCAGGCCGGGGTAAAAGATTCATAGAACGGATGTGGAGTTCGGAACCCCTAGAGGGCTAGAACAGGCTGCATGGGAAGGATTCCCGGAAGGAATGGTTCAGGGTGATGTGCGACGACATTTGAGCGGTCCGGATAGACTGAAGGCCGGGAGGCGTACCAGTCAGGCCGAAGGCTCGGGGAACGGTCCAGGCAGGCTGAAGGCCCAGGAGGGCGGTCCAGACATGCTGAAGGTTCTAAGAGTGGTCCAGATAGGCTGAAGGCCTGGGAAGGCGGTCCAGTCATGCTGAAGACTCTATATGTGTTCATGGATCGATAGAAGGAGAATGAGTGAATAAGTCACCATGCAATAGTAATCGATATGGTCTGGCCCCAAGTATTGATCATGATGATGGAGTCGGCCGGAGGTTCAGGGAACGGTCCAGACAGGCTGAAGGCCCAGGAGGGCGGTCCAGACATGTTGAAGGTTCTGAGAGTGGTCCAGATAGGCTGAAGGCCTGGAAGGGCGGTCCAGTCATGCTGAAGACTCTTTATGTGTTAGTGGATCGGTAGAGTGGAGTTTAGCTCAGTGGCACTTATAGGTGCGGTTATGGTTGTGGAGTAGACTTCCTGGTAAGGAAAGGTATGTAACTCCGGAAGGAGTGTGGGTCCTCTGAAAGGGAGGCAGTGGAGTAAATGGATGATCGAAAGTGCTTCAGCTATTGGTAGTAAGCACTAGGATTGTACCAGATATATGGAAGCACATACGGGTTGGATGCCCGTTGAGGTTGTGGCAATGTTGGATGATGCGCAGGCATGTTTTCGGTCTCCTTGGAAGAAGAGGAGGATAGTGGCTCCAGATCGGGGAATGGGACAGAGGAAGGTGATTCAGCAGGATAACAGACTCGGGAGCAGTCTGGACCGGTGCTGAGGACTGCATAAGGATATTACAGTTGGAGGTCAAGGACCTAGAGATCGCGATAGGGAAGTGTGAGTGGGTTATACTCAAGTGTGGCGAACCGGGGAGTTCGAGGGGGGACGCAAGGACAAGGTCCTTGGTTCCGAGTATGGTTTTGGGTTTGAGTTATGTATGTGGAGGTATTCCAATCTGGGGTATTCCATCATAAGGATGACCGGACCCTATGATTGATTGGACCTGATGTGTTTGGTATTCCAACCCGAGGGTTGATTGGGCCAAACATGGGTAGGGATACGAGGGTATTCCATCCTAGGGATGAGCGGACCCGTCGTAGGCATGCCTGGTATTCCAGCCGGAGGCTGATTGGGCCAGCTGTGAGTGTTGGTTTTGGTAAGGGTATTGATGTATGTACGTTTGGGTAGCTAGAGTTGACAATTAGCGATTTCGAGGGCAAAATCATATTTAAGTGGGGGAGAATTGTAACGCCCCGTTCTAAGAGTAATTATTCATGGATCCCCGAGATCAAGAGTAAGGGCGTTTCGGTCTTTTATGGGCAATGGGTTTTATTCGAGAAGGTTTCGGGTCGGGTTGTGTTGCTAGAAGCGTAGGGCTTCTCGCCACCTTTTCGTGAATATAAAGTTCGTCGGAAACGGGCTTAGAATAAAGGAGTTCTGACACTTTGAAGATAGTGGCAATAATGGTCCCTAAAGGAAATATTTGGCAAAGGGGTCCTAGGCATGCATGGAGTGCATGCGTGTAATTGGCTGGGTACGCCCAGCGTAAGCTAGGTTACGCCCAACGTAGAGCGGTGAAATGAACGCGGGTGTTGGGGGCGTACGCCCAGCGTACAGGATGTACGCCCAGCGTACGTCCAGTGTCCAGAAACCCTAATTTTAGGGCCAGTCACTATATAAGGAACATTATGGTTCCAACCCTAGCCTCCATATCTGCTCTCTTAATCTCAGAAACCCTAAGTAGCCGTTTTCTTCCATGATTGTGGATATTTGACCTTGGGGAGCTTGGTTTGGCAAAAGGAGAGCCTAGGAGAAGAAAGAAGAAGTTGTCAAGGAAGGAGTTGGGTGGCTGGAGCTCGTAGATCTGGGAAGGCATCATCTTCTGGAGCCCTTTTGAGGTATAAAGTCTCTTGCTTGACATCTATTTTGTGTAGATCTAGGTGTTATGAGGTTTTGACACCATTTCTTGTCCCAAAAACCCCAAAGTGATGCATGATGCGAGTTGGTTGAGATTAGTTGTCCTTTCAGACCTTAGGAGAGGTCTTGAGTGAGAAAAATGAGGTCCCAAAGGCTTTGATTGTCTCATGTGTGATGTAGGTGGGTCTTAATGGATTAAGACCTTGAGTTAAGAGCTTTATGGACGTTCCAAGTAATAAAGTTTGAGACTTTATGAAATCCTAGGCATGTTTGGTCGATGGATCTGAAGTTTGGGCTTAAGAGCTTAAGCCATTAAGAACTTATGTGGAATTTTAGTTCAGCGAGATTACGCCCCGTGTAAGCAGTACGCCCAGCGTAGTGGGTCAGTGTCCCGTTCCCAGTCCGCGAGAATCGAAGTACGCCCAGCGTACCAAGAGGGGTACGCCCAGCGTACTCCCTCTGTTGGGTTTTTGATTTTGGGCCTTAAGTGATTGGGCTGTTTATGGGCTGGTGGGGCTTGGGCCGTGACTGAACATTATGGATGGAGTAATTTAGACCCAATAATTATTATGGACCTTGGATCTAGGCCCATTTGGTGAGGTTGGCCCAATTTAGTAAATTGGGCCAATATTGGGCTTTGCATGAGGATTTGGTTTTGGGTCTTGGCCCAATAAGAGGATGATGGACTTATGAGTGTTGTGGGCCCTTGGCCTAGAAATTCATGTTGGATTCTAACTTGGTGATTATCATGTGATAGTTGGGAGTCCCAGTGAGTCAACAGTCAGAGATTTGCAGGATTTCGGCAGTTGCAAGGTGAGTTATCCTCACTATATCGACAGGGTCTACGGCACCAAGGCCGGCACTTTATCGGATGGGAATCCGGGTATTGTTGTTATGTTATTGTTTTGCTAGATCTGCATCCTGGTATTTAGGATGGTGTTATGTTAGTGACCTGGTTAAGGTCGGTACCCGGGATATAGGGTAATGTTATGGTAGTGACCGGTTAGGTCGGAATCCTGGTTAGGATGTTGATATGCTATGTGATCTGTTAGACTGTTTGTCTGGTTGAGGATTGTTATGTGATTAATTGTTGTATGTGCACATGGTTGTTTGACGGGGGTTGGGTTGAGGCGGGTCCTGCTTTGTGCTGTAGGCCAACATACCCAGGGCGGACCGGATGTTCCGAAGGCCCAGCGAGCGGTCCGGATAGGCTGAAGGCCCCAAGAGGGCGGACCAGACGTGCCGAGGCGCGGAGAGTGGACCAGGCCGACTGAAGGCCCGGTGCGGGCGGACCAGTCATACTGTAGACTCAGAGAGTGGACCAGGTGGATTGAAGGCCCGGTGTGGGCGGACCAATCACACTGTAGACTCGACGTACATGGCTAGACTCGGAGGGTGGACCAGGTGGACTGAAGGCCTGGTGCGGGCGGACCAGTTACACAGTAGACCCGATGTGCATGGCTGTTCTATTTATGATATGTTATGAGTATGATATGTGTGGTTGGTATTTTAGGGGTAACTCACTAAGCTTTCGGGCTTACAGTTTCAGTGTATTGTTTCAGGTACTTCAGGAGATCGTGGCAAGGCGAAGGCGTGATCGTACCGCTCCTCATGTTTTATGATTTATATGATATGGTTCTGGGGGATACTCTGATGTTTAAACTATTTTGAAAACGAGTTGTATGAACGTAATGGTTTTTGAATGATTTAAAATGTTTTAATTTGGCTCAAATTTTATGGGTGTTACATTAAGTTTCAAAAGCGTCCATATTACCCCATTTATCTTTTTGTTGTTCAAGAAACACCAACGAAGAAATATTTTTTTATTAAAAATCCAAATAAAGTTAACAGTAAAATTAAGTTTTTTAAAAATTGACTGACATCTGTGGGTTACGTTCTTTGTTTACCGGTGATCAAAGGTAAATCTGACATGGATTATTAAAACAAATTAGGTGGAAACATAAATGCCACAAGGGATTTCATTTCACCATCTAGGGTTCTCAGTGAAGGGTGAAATCGATATCTAGGTTTCTTACACAACGGTGAAATCTACAGAAGTGACGGTGAAATTGATTTTTACAGAAGGTGAAGGAGAGTTCGTCGATTGTGCACCAAGCATGTCTCGTGACTCACTCAACATTGATGTCTACCACAAAGGTGTTTTTTCTCCTAATCCCTTTGTTTACTTCCATCCTGATAAATTACCTGTTATGGGGCTAGATGTACGTAACATGGATTTCAAAGAGTTCATGACCTATCTCCAAAAATTGATCAACAATAGATGTCGGGATATGTATTATTGTCTTAAAAATCGGTCCCTCGTAGATGGGTTAAGGGAGCTCAGGGATGAAGATGATTATGTTAGGTTCCTTGATGCTGGGTTTGATGATGATGATAATCAAATCAGTGTCTACATTGATGACTATCATGAACCCTTACTAGATTGGATTGAAGAAGAGAAAGTTGAAGAAGGGGATAGTGGTACTGAAACATATGAAGACGATGTGGACTCGGTATTGTCGGATGATCTAGCGGTGGACCATGAAGCTGATGATGAGGACATTCAGTGGCTTGAAGTTGTTGATCCTTTTTTGTCTCAGAAGAATCTTATTCCAGAAAAAGGCATAGAGGACGAAGCTGGTGATAAGGTAAAAAAACATCCTATTCACGATCCTAACCAAAAATGGGATACTATGATGCCTGAGTTAGGTATGAGATTCTCTGATCGAGATGTACTGAAACACATGTTAACAAATTATGTTGTGTCAAAGGGTTATGGGTTGTGGTATGAAAAAAATGAGGCAACAGCATTGTTAGTAAGGTGCAGTAAAAATGAAAAAGGGAAGCCATCTTGCCCTTTTAGACTATGGGCTAGTCCCATGAACAAGGAAAATTCATTCCAGATCAAGTCACTGATTGATAAACATAATTGTGCTAGACAGCAAAAATTGGGTTGTCTTGTTACGTATAAGTGGATTGGAAAAATGTTAATACCTGACATTTTGGAAAGGCCTCGGTTTAGCTATAGGAAAATGGCAGAAATAGTTAGGAAAGACTATGGTCTCAAGGTAAGTCTTGGGCAGTGTAGAAATGCCAAGTACTTTGCACTAGATGAGATTTCAGGCAATTTGGTAAGCCATTATGAGAAACTGTGGAATTATGGTGCTGAGTTATTGAGGGTTAATCCTGGGTCAACAGTCTTGATCGAGACAAATCATATGCTTGATGTTACACACTACTTCAAAAGGATGTATATTTGCCTGAAGTCTGTCAAGGATGGCTGGATTGAAGGATGTAGAAGGGTTATCGGTGTTGATGGTTGTTTTTTGAAGGGTATTTGCAGAGGTGAGTTGTTAACAGTCGTTGGCAGGGACGCAAACAACCAAATGTACCCTCTAGCATGGGCTGTTGTGCCAGTTGAAAACAAGGAAACTTGGATGTGGTTCATTGATCTTCTACTTGAGGAAATTGAGATAGGAGATGGTAGGGGTCTTACAATTATTTCGGACCAACACAAGGTGTGTTTTAGTTTTTTTTTTACTTACTACATTATGTGTTATTTTATACTTTACAACTGAAATTTGTTATCACCTTGTAGGGTTTGATGGAGGCTGTTAAGGAAAGGGCACCATCATGTGAGGAAGGCCCAAAGTAAACAGAAGGAAATGTCCTACAGAGAATGAAGGAAGGCATACAATTAACAAGACAGGGATGTCCATCTCAAGATGTAGTAACTGTCATCAAGAAGGACACAACAAGAGGCGATGTTCATTGCTCACAGAAGGTTGATTTTTATTTTGATTATTAATTCATCTACATTTGTATACTAATATATTTATTTGTGTTTTAACAATGCAGCAAATAAAGAAACTGTTGGTGAAGAACCAGTTGGTGAAGAAGGTGATGTTGAAGAAGGGGTTGGTGAAGAACCAGTTGGTGAAGAAGGGGTTGGTGAAGAACCAGTTGGTGAAGAAGGGGATGTTGAAGAAGGGGTTGGTCAAGATGGGGTTGGTGAAGAAGGGGCTATTGAAGAAGGTGATATTGAAGACCACCAGGAGGATGAAATTGACCACCAAGAGGATGAGATTGACCATCAAGAAGATGAAATTGACCATCAAGAAGATCATGTTGAAGACCACCAAGAAAATCATGTTAAAGACCATCAAGAGGCTGTTGTTCAAGATGAAGCTCACCACATTGAAGTTGTTCAAGATGAAGTTGACCACCATGAACTTGTTGTTGAAGTTGACCACCATGAACCTATTTTTGATGAAGTTGACCACCATCAGCATCAACCTGTTTTTTTTCAGCATTTTGTTGCCAACAAAAGGCGATTACCTTCTGAGAGGATCACGAAACTGAAGTTAAGGAAGAAGGTGGTAACAAAAGATGGAAGTGGGGAAAGTCATGAAAATCCAGTCACTTTAAACTAGGATAGGTGTTTTGTATTAGGATTATGTCAAATACTATGAAATGACACATCTTTTGGTGCTTAGTGCACATCTTTTGGTGCTTAGGCTTGTCTTTTGATGCTTAGGCTTGTCTTTTGGTGCTGTGCACATTTACCAACATTTAGTGCCATGTGCACATGCTTGATTATGTGGTTTAATTATGCTTAATATGTAGTTTATTACTTTTTATGCATATTATAACAGTTTACCATTTTGCTCCTGTTTGTTAAAACTGTGTTAAAATTGGTAAAAAAACAGTTTTGTGGGGCTTGTTGTGTGGACGATTTTGCCCATGAAAACCTGTCAAAACAGTTTAAAACAGTTTTATGGACAATTTTGCCCCTGCTGTGATCACTCAAAACTGTTAAAATAGTTTGAAACAGTTTTATGGACAATTTTGCCCCTTGTGTTGAAAGACCATTTAAAACCCAAATTACATACATAATGTCAAACAGTTTTATGGACTATTTTGCCCCCTGCTATTATCATTTGATAAAAGTGCAATGCTATTATGTGTATCACTCTTCATAAACACCTTTTTTTCATTCCCACTTCATAACCACATTACATGAGTTCAATGAAACTACTTTGAAGATACATATCCCGATAATTTCAAAGTACATTTCCCTTACATAATCAAATTAACACTACATCATGTACTTCACTACAAACAAAAAAACAAATATCAACAAGAAACATTTCATTTTATCCAATTCCTTTCTAAAACTCTTACATTCCTTATCAGTCTTCACCTTGTATTCACTGAAATCATGTTCCAATATTGCAATCTTCACTTCACTATTGAAATCATGTTCTTCATCTTTCTTATTCTTGTTCTTGGTTATAATTTCTTCATCTTCATCAACCCATTCCCAGAAATCACATTTATCCTTTGGATCCTTCATCTTCAATTATAACATAAACAAAAAATATTGTAGCATGAAAAACAAGACGGGACCCAAACAAGAACAAGCTTTTAGATACACTTACCAAAGAGTTAGGACAAACCCTATATTTTTTACCAGGATTTGCCTCTGTTGTTGATATCCATATACGAGAAGGAAACCCACAATCACAAGGATTTGCCTTATCAATTGTGCTCTTTGACTTGGAAATTTTTGACCTTGAGCATGAGTTGGAGGATCGAGACGAAGAAGCTATGTTGAAGAAGTCGATTGATTAAGGAGTCGTATCCCCCATTATGCCCTATATCTACTTATAATATGTAACTTTTAGACTAATGCCACGTAGATATGCCAACACACCACATATATATATGCCAACTCAACAGAAATATGCGAACTCATTTACACCCAATCGTTTACCTGCAAGATGCCGGTCAATTTTTAAAAACCTTAATTTTACTGTTAACTTTATTTGGCTTTTTAATAAAAAAAACATTTCTTCGTTGGTGTTTCTTGAACAACAAAAAGATAATTGGGGTAATATGGTCGCTTTTGAAACTTAATTGGTCTTTTAAGTCATTTTCCCTTGGTTTCGTTTATATGGCTTTCTTACCCACCGATGATGCTTGGACGGAAAGCTCGACAAACCACTGCCCTAAGAGACGTTGTCAACCAAAAACGCGTCACCGGCCGGGGCCTTGTCGGAACCCTAGCCGCCACCAGAAACGCTTCACATTCAAAACTACTCCGCCTCTCACCGCTCCTTCATTTTTTATGTGTTTCTTATTCGCTTCACAAGGGTAGGGCAATACATAGATGTTGATGATCGACTTCTTATAGATGTCCACTAGAGAACCTTAACGCATCGCTGCAAGTCGAACCGGTCGCCTGAAATTGCACAACCTGCTTCTCACTTTCTGTTTCTCTCTCATTCTCACTGCTCTCTTGCTGCCTTGATTTCGTGGAGTAGCAACCCATCAAATGATCGTGCAATCGTTTTGATCCTTACGTGTTAGTCCAAACAGGAAGGAAACCGACGAATAAATTAAGAGTTATGTCGATCGTAATTTCTTTAATGCTATTGAGTATACATACCTACATAACCGATTTAACTTATGTATAAGGCTTTAATTCATTTTTATAGCTTTAATTCATATTTTCTATATCTCCCTAAGTAACTTCTAATTTGTTTATGTGCTTTTAAAGGAGAAGTTACAATTTTCGTCCCTTGAGGTTCCTTCCTTGATCACAAAATACCTTCCACTTCCATTTGATTTAATTTAAACCTTTAAGTCCTTATGTACCCTATTTAATTTAATTTAATTTAATTTTATTATTTCGAATCAAAATAAACTCACAAAAATATGTGTTCGCGTAACGGAACTAACCTCGTTGACGGAAGGATTTTTGGGTCGTCACAAAATAGGTGTGGAAGGTAGTATTGAGTCTGTACTACTGAAAGCACAAGATTTATACCCGATGCCTGGAAGACCACGATGAATCTGGGAAACTCGAGGGTGTGAATCATTTCCATGTCTTAACCCATAAAGTCACTGACTTGGTGACTTTACTTGGCCCAAACAAGCCCAAACTCCCAAAAATGATATTCCACTTCCATAAAAAGGGCTAGATCTCATGCATGAACCCATTAAGACATTCAAGATGGAGACTTTACTGCTTATGGGACCCTTTTAGCTCTGAAGGTGGCAACCCTAAGCTCACAAACGAGATTTCATCATAAAGGTCCATTCTTGGGACCAAAATGACTCCAAAACCACACTACACTAGATCTAAGCATTCTTAAGTAAAATTATGAACTTTATACCTCAAAAGAGTTCCAAATGATGATGTTATTCCAGATCTATGAGCTCCAACTTCCCAAGTTCTTCCTTGCCAACTTCCTCTTTTCTTCTTCCAAGCTTAAACACACCAAAATGAGCTCTTGAATCAAATCACCCAGGATGAAGATATGAGGCGTTCTAGGGTTTCTCTGAGGTTGGGGAGGCTGATAAGGAGGCTAGGGTTTGAGCCATTATGTTCTTTATATAGTGGTTGGCCCTAAAATTAGGGTGGGGTTTCTGGACACTGGACGTACGTTGGGCGTACATCCTGTACGCTGGGCGTACGCCAAAAGCACCCGCGACCATATCCATATATACGCTGGGCGTACTCTTGTGCTGGCCACCTTGCATGCATGGTCCTTTCTTGCCATCTTTCTCCATTAAGGACCAATATTGCCAATAACTTCAAAGTGCTGTAACTCCTTCGTTCTAAGTCCGTTTCCGACGAACTTTATATCCACGAAAAGGTGGCGAGAAGCTCTACGCTTCTAGCAACACACCCCGGACCCAAACCTCTCGAATAAAAACTTCAAGACCCATAAAAGACCGAAATGCCCCTAGCCTGGGCCTCTGAAATCCATAAACAAACATTTTCAGAACAGGGTGTTCCAACTCTCCCCCACTTAAACTAGACTTCATCCTCGAAGTCACTCCTTACTAACTGATGGGTTATGAGCATTCTAACACTCCTAAGTGTACATGCAACCCTAAATACCTTGGATCTATGTTTTCTCTATTATACATACAATTATGAACATCCAATGTATTATCCTAATCTAGCATACAAAATAATAAATATAACAAGATAGAATACATACCTCTTTGATGTAGAATGTCTTCATGAAGCTTGAGTGCCTAGTGCCCCAAGTGTGACACCTCAAATGGTTCACACAACACCAAATACACTTGGAATAACTTGAGAGAAACTTGAACACTCCTTGAAATCGTCTAGCCCTCACACTCACACATTAGTGCATGATTTCTTGAGCCATGGGATTCTTTTATATGGTGGCTATTAGGGTTACACCATGTAACTCATAACTTTACCCATTCCTTATGCTCCATGGATTTTAACCTCCATGGAGTATCCATGGGTCACCCCATGGACTTAGTCCAACATAAGGAATCTTGGATCACAAGCCCACATATATAAGAATGAATGATTTACACAATCAACCCATATATTTAATTAGTCTCCTTTTGATCACTTAATTAATTCCAAATTAATTCTTGATCAATACTAATTAAATAACCTTATTAATATATTAGAACTTATAATATATTAACCAACCTTAAGTGTTATTTCTCTCATTATAGTCTATCCAAATGCATGATGCCATGCAACCCAAATGGACCATGCCGGGTCGGGTCAAGTCTTACCAATTATAGTTATGGACTTAGACATTAATCCAACAGTCTCCCACTTGGATAAGTCTAAAACTATTATTGCGTATGACTTCAGGAACCGATCAGCAATCGTAGCTCTCAAAAGCTTTTGTCGAACTCTGACCTTGTCGATGAACTCTGACCTTTGTCAATGACTTGTCCATTAGATAAGGGATCATATATTCCTCCATTCTAGATATCATATGGACTGAGACATGGATTATCAATCATTCTCTCTGTCCATTTGTTGTTTCCCGATTTCCGATTCATGATGACTGACTGATTGAACAAATCAAATCAGTCCTGGCTTGGCCAAGCACTCACATGTATCATCTTTAAATCATCGAGGGGCCCACATATATCGCTTTTATCCCGAGGTAAAAGGAATGGATAACTTCGACTCATATGGCTTGTTCTACTACTTGTTGAATCATACACAAAGGCACGTTTTATAACATCGAGTTACCAATGCGTTTTCGTGCAATCAATGTATAACCAACTCATAGTAACAACTCATATCTCTAGGTTTGAAGAATATAAGATATTATCGTCTCATGATCACTCGTGATAAAATCCATGAAGTGATTCAAATGAGCGCGGGTTGAATCCAATACTCAGAACTTATGAGCACTCATGAGTGTTGTAGCACCACTTTTGTCCACCAACTTGGACCTCTACAAACCAACCCATGACAGTCTTGATTCATATCTACTTCCACATATGACCGACTGTGGATGGTTTGAATAACTTAATCATTCAGGAAGAGCGACTTAGTTATTCTGGAAGTCAAAACATGCAAAGTGAAACACAAGAATAAATGAATCAAATATGGTATCAAACCCTATGAATA